ATGGTACCACTTTCGGAATACTCCATTTGTGTAATCAATGGATGGTGAAACATGCTGTGAACCGCTGGGAAAGACCCGAAGGGAGAACGGCAAGAAACGCATACACAAACTTGTTTTAAGAGAAGGTTCTTTGGCGATTTGTAGATTCTTCAATCCCGAGTATATCCACCAACGATGTCTGACCATATATATATAATGACAAAGGCATTCTATAATCCTTATAATCTCTAGTGTAGACGGTTAAATACAACTAAAGCTCTCACATCACTATCTTCTTCGTGTAGACGATTAATACTACTAGAGCACTCGCATCACTATCTTCTTCGTGTAGACGATTAATACTAGTATAGCTCTCAAATCACTACCGTCTTGGTGTTTGTGGCGATTAAATCATAGAGCGCCAGCCTGCCCGTGCCAATCTCACATATATACCAGACTTTAACGAAACCAAAACCATGGGTTGCAGGCGACACTTGCAGCTGTTTATAGCTGCTATACTGTTTATCAGTTTAGGCGTCAGGGGTGCAGTTGTGAGCGGTATCAATCAAACACCTGTTGATGGATACTACGGTAACACCTGGATTAAAGACTTTTGGCAAACGCATCCAAACATTTGGTGGCGCTGCCAACAGCCGGGGACGGTGGCTCTCACTTTCGACGACGGGCCCGGGTCGGTATATGAGGAGGGTGTGCGAGCGAGAACAGAGAAGATATTGGATGTCCTGAAGCTGTTTGATATTCCGGCCACGTTCTTCGTTCAAGGTAAAGTTTTGTCCAATACTACGGAAAAGCTCGGATTACTGACACGCATGGTTGAGGAAGGACACCAAATCAGTCATCACATGTATGATCACACTGACATCCGTGAAATGAACGATACCGCGGTCGCATCGGAGCTTGAGGACATCAATGAATTTTTTCGCGAGCATTTTAAGTATGGGGATGTGCTGCGTAGTTCCACAAATCCGAGTACTCGGTACGTGCGACCCCCATACCTGGGCATGGATGAGCAGAAAGCAACTCTCTTACAGACTCTGGGATACAAAGTCGTGCAGATATCAGCCTCCGGCCAGGATTCTTCTTTTGCCGCGAATGCAACAGACTCTTTGCGCTTCTATGTCTGCGAAGAAGGGCAATTTGCTAATTTAACCTGCCCATTCGAAGAGGATGGCAACAAGCTGAAAGCTCCTTTCAATGAACATGATGGGTACTCTGCAACAACAGACTCTTGGATTACTCTTCATCACGATCTGTTTGCTATTGTCCCTACACACGAAACGCTCATGGACTATATTCCCATCGCCGCCGCTCAGGGCTATAAA